GAGGAAGCTAATGATGATGATCATGAAGCTTCGGGTGAAGTTACTATCGAACCTCATAGGTCGACAAGGGTACATACAACTCCTGAGTGGTACGGTAACCCTGTCTTAGAGGTCATGTTGTTGGACAACAGTGAACCTACGAGCTATGGAGAAGCGATGGTGGGCCCGGATTCCGACAAATGGTTAGACGCCATGAAATCCGAGATGGGATCCATGTATGAAAACAAAGTGTGGACTTTGGAAGTATTACCTGAAGGGTGAAAGGCCATTCAGAATAAATGGATCTTCAAGAAGAAGACAGACGCGAACATTAATGTCACCGCCTCTAAAGCTCGACTTGTGGCAAATAGGTTTTCACAAGTTCAAGGAGTTGACTACGATGAGACTTTCTCACCCGTAGTGATGCTTAAGTCCGTCAGAATCATGTTAGCAATAACTGCATTTTTTGATTATGAAATCTGACAGATGAATGTCAAAACAATGTTCCTTAACAGTTTCCTTAAGGAAGAGTTGTATATGATGCAAGCCGAAGGTTTTGTCGATCCAGAGAATGCTGACAAAGTGTGCAAACTCCAGCGATCCATTTATGGACTGGTGCAAGCATCTCGGAGTTGGAATGTTCACTTCGATGAGGTGATCAAAGCGTTTGGGTTTATACAAGTTTTTGGAGAATCTTGTATTTACAAGAAAGTGAGTGGGATATCTATAGCGTTTCTAATATTATATGTGGATGACACATTGCTGATTGGAAAACATGAAGGAATATTTGAACAAGAGTTTTTCAATGAAGGACCTAGGATAAGCTGCTTTCATATTAGGCATCAAGATCTATAGAGATAGATCGAGGCGCTTAATAGGACTTTCACAAAGCACATACATTGATAAGATTCTGAAGAAGTTCAAAATGGATCAGTCCAAGAAGGGGTTTTTGCCTGTTTTGCAAGGTGTGAAGTTGAGTCAGATTCAATGCCCAACGACTATAGAGGATAGAGAAAAGATGAGTGTCATCCCCTATGCTTCTGCCATGGGCTCTATCATGTATGCGATGTTGTGCACAAGACCGGATGTCAGACTTGCCATAAGTATGGCCGAGAGGTTTCAAAGTAATCCAGGAATAGATCACTGGACAACGGTGAAGAATATCCTTAAGTACCTGAAAAGGACTAAGGAAATGTTTCTCGTTTATGGAGGTGATCAAGAGCTCGTGGTAAAGGGTTACGTTGATGCAAGCTTTGACACTGATCCAGATGACTTTAAGTCTCAAACCGGATACATATATATTCTAAATGGGGGAGCGGTAAGCTGGTGCAGTTCCAAGCAAAGCGTGGTAGATGATTCTACATGCGAAGCAGAGTACATATCTGCCTCAGAGGCAGTGGAGGAAGGTGTCTGGATGAAGCAGTTCATGACATATCTTGGAGTTGTACTCAGTGTACTGAACCCAATGACTCTGTTCTGTGACAACACTGGTGCCATTGCTCTAGCCAAGGAACCAAGGTTTCACAAGAGGACTAGACACATAAAGCGACGCTTCAACTCCATCCGTGATGCAGTCAAAGAGGAGGACATAAACATTTGCAAAGTACATACGGGTTTGAATGTTGCATATCCATTGACTAAACCTCTTCCACGGGCAAAACATGATCAACACCAGAACTCTATGGGTGTTAGATTCATTACCATGTAATACTAGATTATTGACTCTAGTGCAAGTGCGAGACTGATGGAAATATGCCCTATAGGCAATAATAAAGTCGTTATTATTATATTTCCTTGTTCATGATAATCGTTTATTATCCATGGTATAATTGTATTGATCGGAAACTCAAATGCATGTGTGGATACATAGACAACAACATGTCCCTAGTAAGCCTTTACCGGACTAGCTCGTTGATAAAAGATGGCTATGGTTTCCTGGCCATGGACATGAGTTGTCATTTGATAACGGGATCACATCATTAGGAGAATGATGTGATGGACAAGACCCAAACTATAAGTGTAACATATGATCGTATCAAGTTTATTGCTATCGTTTTCTGCATGTCAAGTATATGTTCCTATAACCATGAGATCATGCAACTCACTGACACCAGAGGAGTGCCTTTTGTGTACTAAACGTCGCAACATAACTGGGTGACTATAAATGTGCTCTACAGGTATCTTCGAGGGTGTCTGTTGAGTTGGCATGGACCAAGACTGGGATTTGTCACTCTGTATGATGGATAGGTATCTCAGGGCCCACTCGGTAATACAACATCACAACAGGCTTGCAAGCAATGTGACTAATGAGTTAGCCACATGATCTTGTATTACGAAACGAGTAAAGAGACTTGCGGTAACGAGATTGAACTAGGTATGGAGATACCGACGATCGAATCTTGGGCAAGTAACATACTGATGGACAAAGGTAACTGCATACGGGATTAGCTGAATCCTTGACATCGAGGTTCAACCGATAAGATCTCCGTAGAATATGTGGGAACCAATATGGACATACAGGTCCCTCTATTGATTATTGACCGTAGAGGTGTCTCGATCATGTCTGCATAGTTCTCGAATCCGTAGGGTCTACACACTTAACGTTTGGTGATGATATAAGTATAGTTGAGTCATTATGGTGGTTACCATAGGTTGTTCGGAGTCCCAGATGAGACCCCGGATGTGACGAGGAACTCCGGGATGATCTGGAGGTGAAGATTGATATATTGGACGAAGGGTATTGGAGTCCGAAATTGTTCCAGAGGTACCGGGTGATGACCAGCATGCCCGAAAGGGGTTTCAGGGGGCCCCGACAAGTCATGGGGGGCCTCATGGGCCAAGGGGAGGGGGCAAACCAGCCCACTAAGGAGTTGTGCGCCCCCTCACCCCATCTCATGTAACCAGGAGAGGTGCGGCGCCCCATCTAGGGTTCCCCCCACCTGGCTTGTGGGGCAAGACACCCTAGGGTTTCCTAGGGGGCGCCCCCATCTGCCTTGTGGCCGCCGCCCCCTTAGATGGGATATAGGAAGCCCCTCCTCCTCCCTTCCCCCTATATATAGAGAGGTAGAGAGAGGGCAGCCGCACCCTTGAGCACATCTCTACGCCACGGCACTGCCTCTCCTCTCCCTCGCATCCTTCTTCCTCTCCGTAATGCTTAGCGAAGCTCTGCTGAGATTCTGCCACCGCCACCGCCACCACGCCGTCGTGCTACCGGAGGACTCGGGCTACTACTTCACCATCGCTCGCCGGATCAAGGAGGTGAAGGCGTCATCAAGCCGTATGTGTGTTGAATGCGGAGGTGCCGTCTGTTCGGTACTTGGATCGGGAGTTCGCGGGACAGATCGTGATTGGATCGCGAAGACGTTCGACTACATCAACCACGTTTCTTAACGCTTCTGCTTAGCGATCTACAAGGGTATGTAGATGCAATATCATATCGTAGATGTTCATCTCCTAGATTGATCTTGATGGACGTAGGAATTTTTTTGTTTCCCATGTAACGTTTCCCAACACATGGATAACCCAATGGATACCCAAAAATTTAATAAATCAAAATTATTCCTATGACATGTGGGGTAAGCATCTAACTCCTATGGCCCGACCCTAAATCTTGTATTCCCTAAACCAGCCATAGGTCATAGGTCCGCAATCGCCTGCTCAACATTCCTCTGACATCCTATGTGACGTCCTGAAATGATGAAATCTCGATTCATCACCATCGGACTCTTCTGAACTATTTGATCCAACGACCCCCAATTCCAACTGCTCATTCCCACTACGCCGGGCTTCCACCAACCGTTGCTCATACTTCCTTGATGCCTTTAAGAAGCCACCCATCGGAGGAGGCTATGTTCATTGCTCATACTCCCTTGAATTTTAGACTCATTTTTATATTTTTTTTCAAAATTTAAATGCTATATATGGCACCCAACGGATACCCATCAGGTACCCAATGGGTATAGGCATGGATATCAATTTATGCCCATGAATATTGAAGTGGATGGTATAGAAAATTTGTATGGGTACGAGTTTGGGCAGAAGGAGTTTGTACCTGCACATGCCCTATCCATTGCCATCCCTAAAAAAGGTGAAGGCGAGAAATATTCACGCCCCTCGAGGTCTGCCTCCGGGTACTAGCAAAATTTCGGCCGAGGCCCAAAGCGTCTTTCAGCCGACCGCTCTGCTTTTCCCAGCTGCACCGCAAAACTAGGGATGGCAATGGGTACCCATTACCCACATACCCTGCGGGTAAAAACCCTATTAAGACAAGGGTTTGGGTGAAAAAAGTACCCATGGGCACATAAATAGAAAAATTTCATACCCGTCGGGTATAGTGGGTACATGTATGGTTTAGTATAACCCATACCATGTACCCATGTACCCACATATATTCTTACAAATAGGCCTTATAAATTATCTATTCACATATTAAACATATTATATGTGCATAAATCCCACTGCCCTAAAAAGACGTCATCATGCATTCATGTTAGGCCGGCGTACCAGAATAGCTAGCCAACGAACGGGTATGTGTTGCTGTTATGATGTGTTGTTGTTTATAAATTATTATTATAAGTTGTGGTTTATGACTATGTTATGCTCAGATTGATGTGTTCCAAATCTGGGTAATTTTACCCGCGGATACCCATTTACCCTGATGGGTGACGGGTATGGGAAGGGTATGGGTGATGGATAAGGTTTGGGATGACGGGTAAGGGTATGGGGTGGCTCCACCCGTACCCAAACCCTGCGGGTGCCATCCCTACGCAAAACACCTCAAAGAAAAAAAAAAGCCGCACCGCAAAAATGGGCAGAAAAGAAAGGAGAAAGCCCCGAGACGCGCACGGTAGCCCTCCGGTCGCTGCCGGTGGGTGACTGACTGCCCCGCCCCCATAACGGCACTCCGCTCCACCCCTCTTGTCTCTTTCTCTCGTCTCCCCTGCCGCGCCGCCCAGTCGCTCGCTCAGCAAACTCCAAGAGGCCTTCGATTTCGAGCGAGCGCCCGAGGAGACTCGGCGGCCATGGGGAGGCCGGCGATGGAGAGCAGCAGCGAGGAGGAGCTGGAGGACGACTTCCCCGGCCACGAGTGGATCACCCCGCAGTCCTCCATCCGCGCCGCCTATCAGTCCCAGACCGAGAAGGTGGCCTCCCTCTCCTCCCCTCCTGAACCCCCCTTCCTAGATTTCTTCCCGTGTCGCCGCCCTCTTCCCCTAACACTTCTCCGTCCACGCATTGCCGGCATCTTTTCTTGGCTACCTCTTGCTTCTGCCGACGCCGCTACCTGGTCCTGCCTGCTCGCGCTTTTAAGCTAGGTTGCGATTTTGGATCTAGAGCGGGCATGCCCGTGGCGGCGCGTTGCAGGGGGGCAGTCGCTTAGGGAAAATTACCTATGCAGCATTTAGTTACCGAGCCCTTTGGCTCTGGGGGATTGATAACTAAAAATCTGATCTTCGAATCTTGATTAGTCAATATGTGCTGTTCTGTGGCACAGTCTGTTCGACTGGGCCCCATTACAACACAATTACAAGTACAACGTAAGCTAGCTTGACCTTATTGCGATGGAATTGAATGAGACGGTTGATCTGCCTGCATCTGTCTGTTGAGGCCGGTGGGGACTCTGGTCTCTGGTGGTTGCCCGAACCATCTCATCAGTGTGCTGACTGTACTCAGTGAGTAACGCCGTTGTGTTCAACAGGGTATCAGGAAAACTTGCTCTGAGCTACTGGAGCTGAAGGATGCCATCGAAAACCTGTGCGGGAATATGCAGTCGAAGTACCATGCTTTCCTCAGGTAACACTGCGAGTTTCGTTCCGTTCTGGATTAGAAAAATGTCTCTGTGGCTGACTGATGCCCTCTATATTGTTGTTTATAGTTTCTTCTGTTCTGAGGCTTATCTTGTTGGCCATTGGCTCTACACGGGTTGATGGTCTAGTAGTTGTACCTGCCTAGATTAGGACTTGCAACTAAGCCTGTTTGGTCACCTCATTGACAAAAGGCCAAACTCTTGCAGCTGGTCCTCACACACTTGACACTTCCACTGAGGTCATGCATAGCTGTTAAGAAAATATGTATTCCTTAGAAACTAGAAAAGTATCTGGTTGTGTGTGCTGTTGCGGTGACTTTGATATTTATAAAAGAACGGCCACTGCGAGTACACAAGCACGATATATTCTTTCCAGTGCAGATTATGTTGAATGTTGGGTAACTTGAAACAACTTGACTGTGAATGGATGATAACCGAACTTTTGTCTAGGTGCATTAATATACATCATTCAGCTTCATTCAGTCAGTAGAAATTTGACTATGAACCATCTACTGTCTCGTGTTTCTATTCTGCATGATTCCTTGCATTTATTGCCAACCATTATTTATTTATTTATTTATTTATTTATGCAGAATATCCGAGGAGGTTGTCGAGGCAGAGCAAGAGTTAATTGAGCTGCAGAAGCATGTGTCTGCCCAGGGGATGCTTGTGCAAGATCTGATGAGTGGTGTGTGCCGGGAACTTGACATGTGGCAAAAATATAGTAAGGAGGAACATGTGGTGGAGAAGGATTTTCAAAGTGAACTTAATGAAATTTTATCTGTTGATACTCAAGACCCCAAGGTTATTTTTCTGGACGAAATAGACATTTTGCTTGCAGAGCACAAACTAGAAAAGGCACTGCTTGCCCTGGATACTGAAGAGAAGAAATATATGACTACAGATGGTTCAGGCAAAGAATCAGATGCAGAGATTTCTGCCTATAAGACAGCACTGTTTAAAAGGAAATCAATTCTTGAGGATCAGCTTGTTAGGTATTCAGAACAGCCATCTTTATCTATTACTGAACTAAGAAAATCTCTGTCTGGTTTAATTAAGATTGGTAAAGGTTCTGTAGCCCATCAAGTACTTCTAAAAACCTACGGTTCACGTCTTCACAGAGATGTTGAGGCATTTCTTCCCACCTGTTCAGTCTACACAGAAACTTACTCTGCAACCTTGTCACAACTTGTTTTCTCAGCTATCTCAAAGGTGTTGAAAGAATCTAGTACGCTATTTGGAGATAGCCCCACGAATATGAACCGGATTATCCAATGGGCTGAATATGAAATAGAAGCTTTTGCACGTTTGGTTAAAGAAAATTCTCCTTTGCCTGAGAGTGTTTCTGCACTTCGTTCTGTTTGCATATGCATACAAACTACTCTCGCTCACTGCTCTTGTTTAGAAGCACATGGGTTGAAATTCTCAAAGTTACTTATGTTACTATTGCGACCTCATATTGAAGAAGTGCTTGAACTGAATTTTAGAAGGGTGAGAAGAAAGATTATTGATTCGGCAAGGAATGACGATATTCTGCGCCTTGGACCTCAAGAAGGATCACCGACATCTGATTCAGTTGCACCTAAGATGATGCTTACAAGCAGTGGAAAGAAGTTTATGTCAGTTATCAATGTGAGTTCTCGCTTTATTGATTATAGTTTGTTGATATTTTTATTCTGGATATACCATATTCTCATCGGGTGTTACTATATATATGGGTTCAGTTCCATGTAACGTTGGATTACACGATTTGGTTTTTAGTATTTGAGTAGCCCTGTCTGTAACTTTTACATCTATTACATCCAATCTATTCCATCTGTAGTGAACAACTTGCACCATACCTCCAGGTACTTCTATCAGTCATTAAGTTTCTAACATCCCATGAAATACTCGTTTAACCTTGCCTCATGCGGCTGATCTCACTGGTGGTCACACCTATTTCATGATGGTAGTCAGCACATTCTCAACAGATGCTAGTCAATTGACACGAGCAACCAAGCAACAACTGTAATAACTCCCTGAGTACACCTATGTAGAGTTGTTAAGCGCAATGTAATTGCATGACTTAGTGCAGAGGAATGAGGTTAGTTTAGACAGCAAACCTCTATTAGTGACAAGTCCTGCCCACGACCATTAACACATCTCCCTATACAGCTACTCACGTAGGCCTAGTCATACAGATCTAGCAGGTTTTGTAGCTCAGGTTGTTTGCTCCGCACACCTCTATACATGCCATATATATACCACCAATCAATGGGAATATTGTGTGGCAAAGTACTCTCTTGAGTCTTACATGGTACTATCAGTTACCGGCTTACTGCTTTCTAAAAATCCTCTGATCCTCGCTTCCGCAACCCCAGTACCATGGCTGACGACAACTCCTCCGTCTCCTCTGGCCACAACACCAATCCTTTCGCCGCCGCCTCTCCTACTGCTTCCTCCATCCATGCAGTGGCTGACCTAGAACCTCAACAGTCAAAACTAGGGATGCTACGGTTCAAAACTTGTGAAAAATTATACTAATATATAGTATAATTTAGTCGAAACATCATCATAATTTCAACAAATAGTCTTAAAATAGAATGATCTTATATTTCTTTACAGAGGGAGTACATAGTAAAATTTATTTTGCAATTTTGGAGGGGGTGCCATTGGCATCCCACTAGATCCGCCACTGCATGACTGCGTCCACGCCGTTCCTGTCCGGCAGCATGCCCCGTCTGTCCTTGACCTTCATGAGTCAAACTACACCATATGGTGTTACCTGTTCATGACCGTCTTCCGTGCGTACAACCTCATCGAGCACATCGACGGCTCCATTGACACCCGCCTCCACCTCGACGATGCGGATTGGACTGCCATCGACTCATGCATCGTGAAGTGGGTCTACATGACCATCTCGCCGGAGATACTCGCAATCGTCGTGAAGCCCGACAAGACAGCGCACTTGGTCTAGCTCGCCATACATAATCTCTCCACCGGCAATCGCGCGCACCGCACCTTCTATGCCCTCCACGAGTTCTACAACTTGTATCAAGGTGACCTCATCACTGTGTATTGCAGCCGCCTCAAGCAGCTTGCCGACATGCTTCACGATATTGGCTACCTGATCAGTGACGAGGGGCTTGTCTTCAACGTGTTTGCAGCCTCAAGTCTGACTACAGCCAGTTGGTGACCAGCATGTCGCCCCACGACCTATCCTCCTTCCTCAACCGCCCCTCCTTCCTCGAGCAGGAGGAGGGGCGCATCCGGCACACGCTGGCCCTGGAGTCTGGCACGATGCTCCTAGTGCGCTCTCAGAATGGCCAGTGCGCATCGGGCAACCAGGCAGTTTCCCAGGGCGGCTCCTCCTCCAACTCTGGGCAGGGCCGTAACAACAGCGGTGGCTCTCGGCGACATCATGGTACTGCATGTGCCCACTGATCAGCAGTTTGCAGATGTTATGACAAAAGGCCTACCCACTTCTTCTTTTCGACAGTTTCGGTCCAGCCTCTGCATCGTCTCCAGCAACGACGCTGAATCTGTGGCGGGGTGTTAGCGACTAAGTCCTGCCCACGACCGTTAGCACGTCTCCCTGCACATCTCCTCACGCCTAGTTATACGGATCTAGCCGGTTTTGTAGCTCAGGTTTATCTCTGCACGTCTCTGTACATGCCATATATGCACCACCAATCACTGGAAAATTGCGTGGCAAATTACTCTCTTGAGTCTTACAACCTCGATTTCCTTTTTTCTCCAACTGGCTCGGAGATTGCATTTGCTCTTAGCTGGTAAACTCCTTTGAATCCCTCATTTAGAATCTCTCTATTGGTATTGGCATTGGCTAAGCTCCTATTTTGAATATTGGATTGAATATTTTGCCGGAATAATCTAAAAGTGCAATATTTTGAAGTTAATTTCTTTCCTACTATATTCTGTGCTTGACTGGATATCTGATCATTTGAAGCAGCTGACATCTGCATGTGCTTCTTACAGGATCTTTTGGATCATGTTACCCCAATGACCACAGTTCACTTTGGTGGAACAATTTTGAGCAATTTTCTCCAGCTATTTGATAGATATGTCGAAACACTTATCAAAGTGTTGCCTGGACCTTCTGAAGATGATAATGTAGTGGAGTCACAAGAGCCTGTAGAATTAAAAGCTGAAAGTGATGCGCAGCAGCTTGCACTAATTGGAACTGCATATACCGTAGCAGATGAATTATTGCCAGCAGCTGTATCTAAGTTTTTTGATATGCAAACCAAGAAGAAAGAAACTAGTGGAACGAGTGAAGGCCTTGGTCCTGGGTCCGTATACTCCACAGAATACAAAGAGTGGAAACGTCATCTACAACATTCATTGGACAAACTGAGGGATCACTTCTGCCGACAATATGTCTTATCATTTATTTACTTGGAAGGGAAGTCACGATTGGATGCTAGAATGTACTTGGAGGGGAACAGGGATGATCTTTTTTGGGATTCTGATCCCTTACCTTCACTACCTTTCCAGGTGATTCTGTTTTAGTGATGTGATTCACATCTCGTCTTGAAATGTAAATTTTACCGTGTTGCTCACACTAGTGTCATATATCCATACTACAGAAATACACATAATATTACTTGGGGCCACCAATGAAATGTAGCTGCTTTAGAAAGTTCTATGTTTTGTGTTTATCACCTTTATTGATGGCCATATTATCAAGACTTTGTTTACTGGAGCTAGTTTGGGACAGTGATCTTTCTTTCCACAATCTTCTTTGTTTCAGTAAATTTTGTGTAGTCCAAGGGACATAGTTCTAGGTGGTAAAGGCAATGTGTAAATAAATATTGCGCTCATTCTAATCAGACCTTTCACAAAACATACCTGTCTCACCTGAGCATTTTCTTTCAGGCGTTGTTTGGAAGGTTGCAGCAGCTAGCTAGTGTTGCTGGTGATGTTCTACTAGGCAAAGAGAAGATACAGAAGGTTTTGCTTTCAAGGCTAACTGAAACGGTTGTCATGTGGCTCTCCAATGAACAAGAATTCTGGGATGTCTTTGAGAACGAGTCCATCCAGCTCCAGCCTTCTGGACTTCAGCAGGTACCCCATATCAAATTTCGTGCGTGTTTTTTGACGAATGGAGCATCCCGCTCCCATTTTCATACCAAATTTCCTGTTACTTTGATGCACATGTTAAAGGTGCCAATCTTTTGCTCCTTTCAGCTTATTCTTGATATGCACTTCCTCGTTGAGATTGCCGTATGCGGACGGTACCCGCACAGACCAGTTCAGCAGCTTGTGTCAGTAATTATTACTAGAGCAATTGCAGCTTTCTCTGCAAGGGAGGTTGACCCACAAAGGTCTGTAATCAAAATCTTTTCCATTGCTTCAGTCTATCCGTTGGGTGTTTGTCTACGGCTGAACATCATCATGTTCCCTCCTCTGAAATTTTCAGCGCTCTTCCGGAGGATGAATGGTTTCTTGACACTGCCAAGACTGCAATCAACAAGCTCATGCTAGGGACTTCTGGATCTGAGTCCGACCTCGAAGCGCCTATCGCTCCGCATGATGACGGGATATCAGAAGATTCAGATAGCATTTCATGTCTGTCGAGCATGGGGTCTGAAGATTCATTTGCTTCTGCAAACAATGATGACCTAGAAAACCCTGTTTACTTCACCGACCCTGACTCGTAGAGAGTTGGCCCCGTCTTGTAGATGCGAGTATAAATATTTCAAGCTCGGTTATCCTGTATACTTCTCGGAGATGTCATCAGTAATTATTAGTATTATTATTATGGTAGCTGTCAAGTTTATTTGTTTCTCCTGAAATTGTTGCTTTCCCTAAGCAGGGCATGATAATTCTTTATTAGGCGAATACAAGGTGCATAAGCAAGAATATAAGTTGTAGCTGGTATTGATCATCACACAGTTCTCTAGGCACAACCGGGCTCTCCCTTACAACTCCACACTAAAACACATGGATGTATAAGCAAACACTACAATTAACTGCAGCAAACGATTTCATACACTTCTGCTCTCTGTGTCCTTAGAAGCACATGTCGAGGAGGCAACAGCAGCAGATGGCTGCACAGCTGAAAAACAACACAGAATCACAGATGATGGATATCTCAGTTCTAGTGTTTTTGCAGGTTTCAGAGATTACTATAATGCACATGAATAAATGGCTTGTAGAAAAAAAAAACAGGCCACAGCTTGAGTAGTGAGTCGGATGCTATGTATAATTTTTTTTAGGGAATTCAGAGATG